CGACTGTGGGCATGCCACGGTGCGGTATGCCGCCTCACCTTTGGGTACCACAGTACCATCCAGGAGGCAAAAGAATGGGTCCACCCATATTCTGGCCAAAGGATGACGAGAGACGAGTTCATGCAGATTATCGGATATGACCCACTCAAGGGCAAAAATCCTGACAAGGATGGACCCACTGATGGCTCTTACCTCTCACCAGAGGCGTGCCTGACACTGTCGAACCTCGACCCCTCGCCGGTTCTCTGTGAATGGAACGGCCATGTCGAGGGTGATGAGCCACCAGAGGAAGACTTTGAGTCATACGCAGAGATCTTCTCACAAGAAGCATCGAACGATCTTGACGAGATGTGGTGTACAAAAGGGCCTTACAAGGTCATCACCATCGCGATCGTCCATTTCAACTCATTCATGACTCATAAGGAAGAACAGAGACGCGAACTGGTGAACGCGTTCCTCAACGAGATTCTCCCTTTTAAACCGGATGTAATAGCGGGAGATCTCAATAATATTGCGTCGAGGCTCACCTTAAAAGGTGGAGACGTTCACCCGCGAAACAGTTTGTTTTCTCTATACCTGGAGAAGAAACTTGCAGCATTCAACAAAATAGCAGGAAGGCACTCACAAGTGCGACATCTTTGCTTGAACAACTCCGACCAGCACAGACTGGCACGTGCAGATCGTCTACCGGCGGACCCGGCGAAGAAAGTTGCTGACCTTGACTGTATCAACAGTTATATCCTTGACTGGAGTAAAACGCCGCACACGGCGTCACCTAGTCCAAGAGATGTTACACCTGCCGCCGAAAGAACATACTGGGAGCGAATCTCAGATATGTGGCAGGACATGAACAATAACAGGGATATTGATATCCGTCTGTTTGTCTCAGTCAAGCAGTACTATTCAACTTTTTCTAACCTTGACCTATGGTTGAGTCCCTCTGACAAAGATTGGCACAGCCCTTTGGGCTTCACGATACAACCAATCCTTACAAAAGGGAAACACAACCGGTCAGATGCCCAGGTTCAGAAGATCGCTGACAAGCGAAAGGCTTTCAAGCAGCGTAATGCTGAATACTGGGGTTACAAAGATTCATTCGTTTACTCATCCGGCAACAGCTGGTACGACAGATCGCAACCATCAGGTAGCCATCACAGATACGGAAGATTCTGGGAATGGCCACAGCCTGAACGTCCCAGCGAGCCTGAAGGTCCTCCTCCAAGAAGGAACCAGGAATCATCGTCCTCTTCACAACAAGATCTACCAAGATCAAGGTCCAGGCCTCAAAGAACCAATATTGTTGACAAGCTCAACATGTCTTTGGAAGAGCTGGATGGACTAGAAGAAGAACCGTCACCAACAAAAAGTGACATCGAAGAACACGAAAGAGAAACATCAAACTTGATGTCTGCTCAGAGAGATGAAGAGGAACAAGAGGACGAATCCTCCAGCCGGAGAAGAAGAAGGAAGGCATCGCGTCCACCGTCTGCTCCGAGCGGCAAGGCACTCAGAACAGCTGCTACAGCAGCGGGGTTGTCGGGCTGGTTCGGACACCGCAACCGAGGTGGAGCGAACGCAGAGTCTATCAAGACTGATGAAACTTCACTTCCAAACTCACTAACCAGTGAGCAGGACTTCTCCGTCTTCAGCATCGCGTGGAATGTGTTTCTGCTGCTAATGGGCTTACACTGGATGTGGAAGCAGATTACCAGGCCTCCTATCAGATGTATGGAGCGCCAACAACCAAAATCAAAAGCAGCAGCGAACCAAAGAGTTCCATTCCTCGAACCCGAGGATGAACCGCAGACGCGTGAACCTTTAGGACCCAACAGGGTCAATTCCGGAGAAACAACTGATCTGCGACCTATCTGGCATACTTCCCGAAGCGAAGTCTACCATCTCTCAGACAGCTGTTACCAGCTCAAGCAAGCAAGAGATGTTTGCAGGAAGGTGCTGTGCAAAAACTGCCTCCATGCAGTACAAGTTGCGGAGATTCGCAGGAACGATCCTTTTCAAAGAGGTGATACACGTCCACGTGGCACCGAAAGAGACATTGAGCGCTTCCAGACCTACGATGATGCAAGTACCACTCCTCATATGACGCAATTATTCAAAGATGCATTGCATGCACAAATGGCCGAAGAAGCCATGCAGATTACCTATACATCGATCCCCAAGGGATCCTCGGCAAAAGCCAAAGGTACATCTGCACTCTCAAGTGCCGCATCGTCGTCAGCGCCCAAGGCAATGCCACCAGTGCCTAACAAGGCAAACATGTCACCTCCACCTAAGAGTCCTCCGCCAAAGGCGAAAGGAACAGTACCTTCAGATCCTCCGAGACCAAAAGGTCCTACCAGAAGAGGAGGTCAAAATCGGCGCATTCAACGAAAGGCAGCCAGAGAAGCCCACAACAGTGGACTCTGCACCTATGCAGACGCTGCACTTAACGAAGCCAATCAAGGCCAGGCAATTAACATTACGTGCCGAAACATGGCAGCAAGACACGTCAGCTCTATCGATGCAACGGTAGAAGCAGCCGATCAGTTTACACAACGCGTGCTACAGCACGTAGAAACATATGATGAAGAGGAACCGTGGAGCACGGAGTTTCTACCAGTCGTGGAAGTCCTATTCAGGAACTTAAGCGGCGACGAAACAACTGTCATACATGACAATCAAACGGTAACTATGCCTCTTACGAAATACACAGACCTCCTCAGAATCGCACAATCATTGCGAAGCTCTATCCAGAGAGACAAGGAGGAAAGGAAGGAACATCTTGACACCATCCAAGATACTCTATCCAGAGTGGAAATCCTTCTAACAGCACTGAAGGACTCAAGGACAGTCTTTAACCAATTGGTCCATTCCTCACTAGAGATAGAGCGAAGAAATAACAATCTCAAAAATGTCCTCGAGACACTCTTTGACGACCAAAGCTCTGAGGAAGACCAGTCAGAATCTGACAATGAAGAAGTCCTAACTCCTTCTGCAGCACAGTACTGGAATAGCCTTTATGCCCACGCCTTATCTCCTTCAGGAGATGAAAGTGAAAGATCATGGGCGTCCTCAGACGGACAGCTTGAAAGAAGAAGGGCTGAACGGGCAAAGGCTAAGCAGCCACAACCGGCTAAAGCCAAGGCAACTCCAGTCAGCTCACAAGCTGCGCCAAAGGCCGAGCCAAAGGCGACAACATCCAACCATGGATATGATACTGCAGACGCCGCCTTCACCAGGGCTGAGAACAGACTACTCGGAATTTATTCAAGTTCCGAAGAAGATCACTCAGACCCGGATGAGCCACATCCGAACGTCTACGCTCGAGCCTATGATCCAAACCTGGATCCGAATCTGAGATAAGAAAATTCTCAGAGTTTCACAACAGTGACTCACAAAGCTCTAACAAGAGCAAAGTGAAGGGCTGCATAATTCGATGTAGAAAATATCACCAGACATGATCTTGTACAGACGATCTCTCTGACCAACATGCATGAGTGTGTGCAAAAGGAGTGTCCTCAGCAGTGTACTTCAGTGCTATACCTAGCTTAAATAATATGCTGTTTTCATCATGAGTCCAGACTCCGCAACTGTGACAGTGGGCATAATAGTATATGTGTGAATGTGCGGCCATGCTTCCGGTAAAAGAAAATTAGTGTCTGTTTGTTTGCGTAAACCTCTAAAGGGGTAGCTCTAACAGGTACCTACAGCAATGGCTGCATGCTCATACATATACATTCCGCTGCCCATTGGCTCACAGTGGTTTTACCATATTGAGACAAGACAAGCTCTCCTTGCGTAGCAAGACAAAACAACTACTGTCCGTGTGCAGGGCGCTGCCCTTTGATCCTTAGGGAATAACTGGTCATACACCTCCTAACAAGGAGTATTCCTTGTGGGTGTATCGGCACAGGGGGGAGGCAGGGATGAGGGGGGGGAGGCCTGGGAGGGGGGGTGGGAGGCCGACAAATCAGGTAAAATAACGAACGCAAAAAGCGGGTGTCCCCAAACATTTGGACTGCAGGGAGGAGGATTAGGTGGAGGGTACCTGAGGTAAGACCCACTGTCAGAGTAGTTGACCGGAACAAACTCCCCAAACCAGGTACCCCTCTCGTCCCATCATGAACCCTGAAGGCGCGGAGACCGACGCGGCTGTCCTCCTTTGCGGCGCCATCAGAGCGCCTGACTGTGCCGTCGACTCAGAGCGGCTGGGCATTGGTACGTCGTCATCATGCAGCATGCCTGTCTTGCCTTGTTTTCATGGCAAGGAGCAGCTCAGGCAGCAATGAGTGGCTCTGCCACAAATCACAAATCGTTTAATGGCGACTCGAGACTCCGAGACTCATAGAGATGGGATGTGTCTACTGTGGTAACGTAGCTACCACTGGTACGTTGGTCATGCAGATGCTCGAGTGGAGCCCTTACCAGCTTCCCCTCGTTGGGAGCACCGTAGCAACCGCTACTGTACGCGGCTCGTGAAGACCCGGATTTTCCGACGTTGCGCGGCCCGCAATGGGCGAGCATTCGCCACACGCAGAGGTTTGGGAGTTGGAGAGCACGGGCTGGGCCGCGCAACGTCGTGAGCGTCCACCCAGGACCCAAGCTTTTACAGGCTGTGGACCTGCCAAGTGGTAGAGGGCGCTCAGATTTGGAGCTGGCGAAAGGCTGGCGCTACGCCGTAAGGCTGGCGCCACGTGGGGCTTCTCGGGTTTGGGGTGCGGGGCATTCTGTACAGGCAACGTGCAACTCTGCCCGAGTCAAGATAGGGAAAAAACTTTTCTCTTCTCCATGGGTGGTCTTCGGGCTGGTGGTTGCCGGAAGTATCATCAAGTGTCAACCGCTCGGTTTGTCGAACTCGAGCCGACTGGGCTCAGCAAGAACTCGCATGCCGAAAAGCCAAGACGGGCCAGCGCTGATGATCCATCTGCTCATAGCACCAGAACCGCGGAGGATCCGATTTCTAGTATTCTAGGCTGTCAAAGCTGTAGAGCTTATGTTTGGTCATGGCCGAGCGGCAGCTGAAGCGGCCGGCGCCAGGCAGCGCCGCGCTGCTTGCGGGCGTGGACGGGGCCTCTGGTCCGAGCTGTGCGTAGGCTCCCAAAAAAGACACGCCCTTCTGACTTCTTGAACATCTGAGTCTTCACCTGGACCAGGACTTGGGCGGGACCACGGTTGCGGTTGGATTGGTCTCAGCTGACGGCCAGCTCCTCACGAAGCTGTCGCACCGGCGATCTGGTTGGAAGACGGACAGAAGGAGCATCTTGCAGCCTGACGTTGGGCTTATGGCAGGGTCGAGGCTGTTGGCGAGGACCACCAGCCCGAACGCATCGTCAAGCGCATCTCTGGCCTTCTCAAGGAGAGGGCTCCATGGGTCCCAAAGGAACAGGAAGACAGACTCCTCCGCACCCCCGCAGGAGGCCTTGCGCCAGGCCGGAAGGTCTTGCTCGGACATCCAGAGCCTCGGGGCGCGGAGGCCCAGGTCTCCACTTTGGAGCAGAAAGCCGCCGTTTCTCTTTGTGAGACTGAGGTCTGCACACCGGGGCTCTTGGACCTCTCTGCGGGGGTGGTGACTGCGGCCAACCTCAAGGGTTGGACCAAGGCCGGGCCGGGCGGGACGGAACCGCGCGCGCACGCCAGCAGCCAGCAGCCAGCAGCTTCTTGAGGTGCCGCTGGTGAAGCTGCTCTCCCAGGAGAGCTGTTGCCACGTCAGCGCCGGAGGGAACCCCGGTGGCTTTCTGCAGGAGCTCGGCTGGGAAACTTGCCGCGTGACGTTGGAGCATGACACCAACAGCGCCCTCCTGGCCGAGGCGCGAAGAGCAGAGGGCGAAGAGGAGTTGAGGAGTTCTTGTCTCCTCCCAGGCCTGGGTTGGGGCAGCCGTTGGCCTGGAAAACGTCGGGAGCCCAGGCTCAGGCCCACACGACGTGCGATGCGTCGGGAAGCGAATTTTGCAGAACTGAGAGCTCTGCCGCTGAGATTGTGCTGCTCTCTTTGGGCACCGGCATCGGTGCTGCGATCATGTATGCCGACTGCAGCTAGCGGGTCGTGGAGGGGTGTTTGGACTTGCAGTTCTTGTCCTCGAGTTGTCATTTAGAGTCGCAGGGGGCCGCTGCAACATGAAGAGTTCACCGACACCTTTCTAAACTGGCCAAAGCTGCACGAAAATCTACCCTCTTGCTGAATCATCGCCGGCTCTCAGATGCGACGGTCGACTTCTCCGCGGCAGCCGCGGCCAAGCCGGTGAAGTAGGCCGAAGGGCCCGTTTCACGCAGTAACTCGAAGCTTGAGAAATTTGAGAAGCTTGCGAAGCCGGCCAGGACACGCCATCCTCGTCCCCGACGGCCGTGACTTCGGCCGAAGCGGTGTGCTGGGGAGCTCAGCGCCCAGTGAAGCCCACGTTCTTAGTGCGGAGCATGCCAAAAGAAACCTCAGACAGGGCGGGAATCTTCGAAGGCTATGCAAGCGCCAGTGCGGTGGCCCAATTCTCAGAACGGGCTCGAAAGCATCCTGGAGCGTCCTTGCATGTCCGAGTCCTTGCCCTTGCCATTCTTGGAGACAGGTGGCACGTGCCAGGGAGGGGATGGTTCCAGAATCATCGCTGAGCAAACTCGAGGCACATGGGCACCAGACTGACGCACGTCTTGCGGATTCTTGTGGGGACGCCTGCATTCGGTCCACAATACCCACTCCTGTCTTTGTCATAAGATGCTGCTGACGAGATTCTCTGATGGCTCCACACCAAGGAATTCTGAAGACATTGCACGCGGAATGACTGAACTGGCGCCTGTGTCGTTTACTAGGAACTGAGCCTGTGCCACAGCCCTTTCGTCTGGATTCCTGGAGTTGGTGTGTCGTCCAACTTCAACCATAGAGGGGCAGACAGCGTTTTGAAACTCGGTGCACACATCACGCGGGCGTGCGCAGGAAGTCCCGCTTGAAATCAGCGCAAGATAATGCCTGCGAGCTCTCGGAAATGCCATTTGGAATGGTGTGAGTTGGAGAGACTCGTCTGCTTGCTTGCGCCATTGTCCAGGCCTTGGACTGCGAAGATGTCTTTGCTCACGCTGCGAAGGGCGATGCCTATGCCAAGGAGCTGGTACGAGAAACCGCGAGGCGCTCGTGCTCGCTGCAGGAGGCTTCTTGTGCTTGCCTTTCTGAGAAGGTACCTGGCGATCGGATGCATCAACTGCTGCCGCTTCGTGGATCCGTCTGTGATCCTGCTGCTGGGACAGCAGGAAGCTGGCGACGAACATCTGTCTTTCTTTCTGGGGCAGTGCCGCGCAGTGCTATGCACGGCTACTGTAGCTCAGGTTCTCCGGCGGCCTGGCCGAGGTGCGCGGAGAGAGCCAAAGCAGCTCGAATCTGACTCTCTGTGTCTCTGACTCTGGCGACTTCACTTCTTACAGGCAGGGGAGAGCCTGCTCCAAGAGGTTCGGAGGCACGGCGGTTTGCAGGGCAGCCCTCTCCCTTGCTCTCTGCAAGCATCTGCAAGCGCATCGTTGCCGCGGGCGTTTTGCTTTGCGAGTTGAGCCGATTCACGAGCCACCCATCGCATCACTCGTGCTCCAGCATGCTCCAGTCACGTCCCCATGGGTACCACGGTCCCGTTCCGATTCTCAAAAAAGCCAGCAGAAGATGCGCCAGCGATGGCGGTTTCTGGACCGCGCCGCAGACTGGCGGAGAAGGCAGGATGGGGGGGAGATAGAAGTGCCCAAGTGCCCCCCGCTCTGCCGCCCCACTGCAGATGTCCTTTGGCCGCTCGGCGCTCGCCTCGCTCTCTGCTGCTTCTTGCTGTCGGGGCCTCGGAGAGCTTGGCTGGGGCTCCACTTCGAAGTTGCGTGGCTCCTGCGCCGTGGACGCAGGTGGTCGCTGTGTTGATGATGGTCTACTGGCAGCCTGATCACGCAGGCGGTTCCCGATGGCAGTGGGATATTTAAACATTGGGTTGTGTACCTCTGCCTCTCCTCCGCTTTCCCGCCTTCGTTGCACGCCCTCAACCCCCCTTGTGATGACGGTTGCGCCGCCGCCGTCACGGTCCATCCCCTCTTCCTCGTCCACACCCCTTGCCCCGAGTATGCACCGGCACTGGTTCCTTGCCAGGGGGGTTGGGCCCTGGCCCCACGGCAGCGCTCGCGAGTTTTTTTTTCTTCCGAGCCCTGCTGGGCCTTGACAATGGCCCAGACTCCTGATGGAATCTAGACTGAATCTAGACATGTTGCTCTCTGCGAGGAAATCGAGCATTTTCTTTCCCCCGGACCAAAAAATGAATCGTCAAAAGCGGCCCTCCTCCCCTTTTCCTTCCCGTCCATTTAGTTGTGCTCAGGTTGTGCTTTGCTGGTGCCCTTGCTTTGTTTGGGTCGCGGGCTGCCTCCAAGGTGTATAGGCGTGCAGCGATGCTTTGGTGGGTTGCGGGCAGGTGACGCTCAGCCACTGGCGGCGCTGCCCTGAGCTTTTCTCGAAGGTGAGGCCGCTTCGTCGTGGCCAGGACTGTTAGAGCCTGACGCAGGTTGCGGCTCAGGTGTCATTACTCATTACACTAGGAGAGTCGCAGTCAAAGGACAGAAGAGAACATCGAAGCTCAAAATCCTCTGTGCTGCTCTAGGCGGTGCCGGGATCTTCCAGCCGTCTTGCAGCAGCTGGCTCGGCACTCGGTTACTGCCGCAAGGCCCTAACAGAGAACGCTAATGTCAAATCCCTCATGCGCTTGAAGATGACCATTCACTGCTAGAGCGGGGGAACATGTAGCTTTCAGATACAGAGCATATGGGCTTTATTTAGCTCTTTAGCGGAGGTGAGGTGAAGCTTTCGGGGAGCTTTGCCGTGCCATGTTTGACGGAGCACTTGCGGCCTGCTTTTTGACGTGCGGTACAAGGGATGCTTCCGCCAGAGGCTTCGAGATTCGACACCCTTCAAGCAGGTATGGGTGGCGAGAGAGTGCTGCTCCTCGAGTGCAGAGCGGCTCCGGAGCCACGATTGAAGAGAGATGAGAGCAGCTCTCCGCGAGTGGAGGATGAGAGGCAGAGGTTGATGCTGCGGCTGCGCTGCCAGCCCGCAACCCCTATTCTACTCTCGAATCCACTGTACTTCATTACACTCCACTCCAACTCATTCCCCTCTCGACTCCACTCCTGACTCCAACTTACTCCCCTCTCCATTTCCCAGTCGACTCCACTCTCAGCTAAAAGATGCGTAGCAAATCCTTGCTTTTGGATATGTTGCAAGCTTTGCCTTTGCGAGCGACAAAAAGATTGTGGTGTTTCGAGATACAAAGTGTCCTGAGAGAGCTACAAGCCTTTCCCAGGCCCCGAAGGGGCTGATCTTTCGACTCCATCCGAGTGGCTTTGAAGTGCCCGCGCGTGGGCTCCTGAGGCGCTGCAGCTGCCGTGGGCCTCGCTGCCGCTCAAGGCTGTTCCCATGACTTTTGGCATGAGCCTTACCTTGCAGCCGCTCCCGAACCAGGGGCTTCAACGCAGTCAATGGCAGCGGAGGCCGGAGAGGGCTCAACAGATATTGGAAAGGGATCTCGCCACAGCGTCAGGATGGTAGTACTTTGGTCACCTCGGTGCCCTTGGCTCAGCATTCAAGAAGACAGTGCTGGCTTTGGGCTCGGACTCCAGTGGTTATAGGCTGAACCTTGCAAAGAACATCATCGGCGCCGGCATGCTCTCGCTGCCTGTGGTCGGGGCCTCACAGCAAGCCCCCAAAGCCAAACCGCCTGAACCCCGAAATCTGAACCGCCATTGTAGGAAGCTCCCGGTTCGAAGATCTCTGAAATTTCATTGGGTTCATATGGAGAACCACAACAAGAACCAGCGGTGTTTAATCTCGAGCCTCTCCCCAAGTGCTCCAAGTTCTCTCAGAGACTTTCCGAGGCCTTACGAGGTGCCGGCCTAGCGCCCTACGTGGTGGGCATCACATTGGCCGGAGCCCTCAATGCCCCTGGGCATTGAACCCTCGTTTTGGGGTGTTTCCGACAAGGAAAAGATCTTGGTGTTTGGGCACGTTTCTTTCCTGGCCGAGATCCCGTTGTTTTGGGGAGCAGGATTCCTTGGGGCCCTGCCAACATCATCGCACCGGTTCTTCAAGGTCGATAGAAAGTTCAGGATCATCTTAGCGGGGTCAGTAGTGCTAGAGCTAGAGTTTGGTGCCCTGAATCGAAGAGGGAAAGGGGCGGGTTTTTCAATGATCCGTCGGAGCCCAAAGCGCGTCCAGGCCTACACCTTCTTCCTGCTGGGCTGGTGCTGCGAGGCCAGATGAGACTTTCCGAAAGCGAGTGCCCCCAACCCTGATGAGAAGAACCAAACCCTGAACCCGAATCGCCGAAACAAGGTGTGTAATTAAATTATTTATGGGCTGCCGCCACTGCCGCCGACCCCAAAAGAAGAGAGGTGACTATCCAAGGAACGCAGCAGGTGTTGAAAGCAGCCAACTGCAAGTCTTGTAACTGGCACGAGTAGCATGAGCACATCACTGATGCGGCGAAGTATTCGGACTGACGCAGTGCTCAGCTCTCGGACATTGTGTGCGCATGTTTCAGCAACCTTGTGACTCAGAGGCAAAAGGCATCCGCACAAAACCGAGTTTAGCAGGAAGGCTGTATTCGATATGCTTAAGATACGGAACCAGTGCAGTTGTGGCCATGGGATGGTACGACAAAAAAGTAGCGCGCGCGGCGGCGCATCACAAAGCCGGGGCGGGCAGTGAGGACAATAAAGGTAGTGAGGGCGGTGTGGGCGGTGGGGGCACGGGGGGGTCCGGGCACACATTGGCAGCCTTTAAATACTCTTTACTCTTTAAACACCTACAAAATCAGCGGGCGGTGAGAGCGGTGGAGACGGTGGGAACGGTGAAAGCGGTGGAGGGGGATGAAGGTGGTGGGGGTGGTGAGGGCGGTGAGGGCGGTGTGGGGTGGGGGCGGTGGGGGCGGTGTGGGCGGTGTGGGCGGTGGGGGCGGTGGGGGCGGTGGGGGGGTCCGGGCACACATTGGCAGCCTTTAAATACTCTCTATACTCTTTAAACACCTACAAATACAGCGGGCGGTGAGAGTGGTGGAGACATGGGAACGGTGAAAGCGGTGGAGGGGGATGCAGGTGGTGGCGGTGGTGAGGGCGGTGAGGGCGGTGAGGGCGGTGTGGGCGGTGGGGGCGGGGGCGCGGGGGGGTCCGGGCACACATTGGCAGCCTTTAAATACTCTTCACTCTTTAAACACCTACAAATACAGCGGGCGGTGAGAGCGGTGGAGACGGTGGGAACGGTGAAAGCGGTGGAGGGGGATGAAGGTGGTGGGGGTGGCGAGGGCGGTGAGGGCGATGGGGGCGGTGTGGGCGGTGTGGGCGGTGGGGCGCGGGGGGGTCCGGGCACACATTGGCAGCCTTTAAAATTTAAATACTCTTTACTCTTTAAACACCTACAAATACAGCGGGCGGTGAGAGCGGTGGAGACGGTGGGAACGGTGAAAGCGGTGGAGGGGGATGAAGGTGGTGGGAGGGCGGTGAGGGCGGTGTGGGCGGTGGGGGCGGTGGGGGCGGTGGGGGCGGTGGGGGCGCGGGGGTCCCGGCACACATTGGCAGCCTTTAAATACTCTTCACTTTTTGAACACCTACAAATACAGCGGGCGGTGAGAGCGGTGGAGACGGTGGGAACGGTGAAAGCGGTGGAGGGGGATGAAGGTGGTGGGGGTGGTGAGGGCGGTGAGGGCGGTGAGGGCGGTGTGGGCGGTGGGGGCGGTGGGGGCGGTGGGGGCGGTGTGGGCGGTGTGGGCGGTGGGGGCGCGGGGGGGTCCGGGCACACATTGGCAGCTCTTTAAACACCTACAAATACAGCGGGCGGTGAGAGCGGTGGAGACGGTGGGAACGGTGAAAGCGGTGGAGGGGGATGAAGGTGGGGGTGATGAGGGCGGTGTGGGCGGTGGGGGCGGTGGGGGCGGTGTGGGCGGTGGGGGCGCGGGGGGGTCCCGGCACACATTGGCAGCCTTTAAATACTCTTCACTCTTTAAACACCTACAATGGAGACGGTGGGAACGGTGAAAGCGATGGAGGGGGATGAAGGTGGTGGGGGTGGTGAGGGCGGTGAGGGCGGTGAGGGCGGTGTGGGCGGTGGGGGCGGTGGGGGCGGTGTGGGCGGTGTGGGCGGTGTGGGCGGTGTGGGCGGTGTGGGCGGTGTGGGCGGTGTGGGCGCGGGGGGGTCCGGGCACACATTGGCAGCCTTTAAATACTCTTTACTCTTTAAACACCTACAAAATCAGCGGGCAGTGAGAGCGGTGGAGACGGAAGGAACGGTGAAAGCGGTCGAGGGGGATGAAGGTGGTGGGGGTGGTGAGGGCGGTGAGGGCGGTGAGGGCGGTGTGGGCGGTGGGAGCGGTGGGGGCGGTGTGGGCGCGGGGGGGTCCGGGCACACATTGGCAGCCTTTAAATATAAATACTCTTTACTCTTTAAACACCTACAAATACAGCGGGCGGTGAGAGCGGTGGAGACGGTGGGAACGGTGAAAGCGGTGGAGGGGATGAAGGTGGTGCAGGTGAGGGCGGTGAGGGCGGTGTGGGCGGTGGGGGCGGTGGGGGCGGTGTGCGGGGGTGGGGGCGCGGGGGGGTCCGGGCACACATTGGCAGCCTTTAAATACTCTTCACTCTTTAAACACCTACAAATACAGCGGGAACGGTGAAGGCGGTGGAGGGGGATGAAGGTGGTGGGGGTGGTGAGGGCGGTGAGGGCGGTGAGGGCGGTGTGGGCGGTGGGGGCGGTGTGGGCGGTGTGGGCGGTGGGGGCGCGGGGGGGTCCGGCCACACATTGGCAGCCTTATATATTAAATACTCTTTACTCTTTAAACACCTACAAAATCAGCGGGCGGTGAGAGCGGTGGAGACGGCGGGAACGGTGAAAGCGGTGGAGGGGGATGAAGGTGGGTGGTGAGGGCGGTGAGGGCGGTGTGGGCGGTGGGGGCGGTGGGGGCGGTGTGGGCGGTGGGGGCGCGGGGGGGGCACACATTGGCAGCCTTTAAATACAACACCTACAAATACAGCGGGCGGTGAGAGCGGTGGAGACGGTGGGAACGGTGAAAGCGGTGGAGGGGGATGAAGGTGGTGGGGGTGGTGAGGGCGGTGAGGGCGGTGTGGGCGGTGGGGGCGCGGGGGGGTCCGGGCACACATTGGCAGCCTTTAAATACTCTTACTTTTTAAACACCTACAAATCAGAGCGGTGGAGACGGTGGGAACGGTGAAAGCGGTGGAGGGGGATGAAGGTGGTGGGGGTGGTGAGGGCGGTGAGGGCGGTGTGGGTGGTGGGGGCGGTGTGGGCGGTGTGGGCGGTGGGGGCGGTGGGGGCGGTGGGGGCGGTGGGGCGCGGGGGGGTCCGGGCACACATTGGCAGCCTTTAAATACTCTTTACTCTTTAAACACCTACAAAATCAGCGGGCGGTGAGAGCTCTTTAAACACCTACAAATACAGCGGGCGGTGAGAGCGGTGGAGACGGTGGGAACGGTGAAAGCAATGGAGGGGGGTGGTGGGGGCGGTGGGGGCGGTGAGGGCGGTGGGGGCGGTAAGGGCGGTGGGGGCGCGGGGGGTCCGGGCACACATTGGCAGCCTCTTTTTTCTTTCTCCCATTCCACACCTACAAATACAGCGGGCGGTGAGAGCGGTGGAGACGGTGGGAGCAGTGAAAGCGGTGGAGGGGGATGAAGGTGGCGGGGGTGGTGAGGGCGGTGCCTTTAAATACTTTTTAACACCTACAAACACAGCGGTTATAACTCCCCTGACAGAACACTGGGGGTGGTGGCAGTGGTGGAGGTGGTGGGGGTGGTGAGGGCGGTGAGAGCTGTGAGGGCGGCGGAAGCGGTGGGGGCAATGAGAGCGGTCCGGGCACAGTGGAGGAATATTCAAAAAAAAAACACCTACAAATACAGCGGTGAAATCTCTTTCAACAGAGCGGTGGTGGAGGTGGTGAGGGCGGTGGGGGGCAGTGGGGGTGGTGCTACAAAGGCAGGTGAGGGCAGTGAGGGCGGTGGGGGTGGTGAGGGCGGTGGAGGTGGTGCTACAAAGGCAGGTGAGGCCAGTGAGGGCGGTGGGGGTGGTGAGGGCGGCGGTGGCGGTACAGGGGCGGTGTGGGCGCGGAGGGGTCCGGGCACACATTGGTTTAAATACTTTTATATACTCTTTAAACACCTACAAATACAGCGGTGAAGGAATCTTTAAACAGAGCGGTGGTGGAGGTTGTGAGGGCGGTGAGGACGGTGGGGGCAGTGGGGGCGCGGAGAGGTCCGGGCACACATTGGCAGCCTTTACATACTCTTTAAACACCTACAAATACAGCGGTGAAAGACTCTTTGAACAGAGCGGTGGAGGCGGTGGAAGCGGTGTGGGTGCGGACACCTCTCGGGATATCACGGGCGCCGCCCGCAGGGGTCGGCGGATAGTCATGTAAGAAACGCCTGGACGCTTGCCCTCTTGCAAGGTGACCGGTGCCAGCACTTTCGGCGAGCTCTGGGCGAAATGCTTTGGGCAACAAAATGCCTGGATCGCCGACGTTTCAGGCTCCGTTCGGTTGGTTTAGGGCATGTTCCCTGGCTCTCCGGAGCCAAGAGCCCGTTCTCCTCCCCAAGACCCACCGCACCTAAACAACGGCCGTCTTTGCCCAGTCCTGATGAACAACAGCATGGCCTGCCTTGCGCACCTTGGTTCCATTCAGGTTAAGGCTTCTTCAAGTCGCCGTCGTAGCACATTAACCTGCCCAAAGCGCTCCCGAAGGTACTGCGTCTTGATGGGAGACTTCTTCTCCAAGGCCGGTGGAGACTTGCTGGGGGTGGGGGCAGATGCCGCGTACCTTTCACGGAGCCTTGGTCGCGGGGCGTGCTCGAAAGGCCTTGGCAGGATTGCTTCCAGACTGCCCGCTGCCAGTGGCCCAGTGGCCAGGAACCCCCAGGAACCCACACGCTTGGCTCTCAGTGAGGTTCCAGAGAGCCTCTCCGAGGCTTCACGGCCGTGGCGTCGACCTCTGCATCATCGGTCTCTGCCTGTTGGCCCCTTCACCTGCAAAGCAGCATGCACCGGCCTAGCTGTTGCTGTTGCCTTCGTCCAAGACAACGGCACCTACCACAGCAGCATAACGTATGGGCAACTCTGTTGATCATGGCAATTGCGTGGCTATCGAGTGGTTTGCAATCATTCGAGACCGGCTTCAAGCCATGTGCAGTCTTGGCGAGGGTCGAGCGGGCACTGACGGGTTTCGACATGCAGTTGCGAGATGGTGCATAGGTCCATTTGCAGTCGGAAGCCTTTTTATAGGATTGCACTTGCAATCTGACATCAGTGTCCTAGGTTTTGTACAGGCATGTTGACACGAATTTTGGCAGGATTCTAGCGCAAATGAGATGTAAGAAAATTGCTGAGGTTGTACTCGTGATGCTGTATTGCTGTTTTCGAAGGCTGTGAACGAGATTTCGCCCGTTTCTGGGTGCCTTCCAATTTTCAGTGAATCGACAGTGTAAACTGATTAGTGAATTTTAAGAACCCTTTTCAAGTTTTTTTGCAGCAGTTGAGTAGAAATGCAACGAAACTTTCTCATGTTTCAAGATCGGGTGGAAACGATATCGAATCGGCTTGCATCGAAACGCGGCGTCTGTCGTCCTTTCACCTTCACTAGTTCGACTCGTTCGCTATCCTTTCATGATTTTTCTCGCTTGAGCAGTGTTTTGCTTTGGAACTGCCAGTTTCTCTGTTCACCGACTCTGCTTTTTGACATCGCTCCTGCTGTTTTCTCGGTTCCGTTTGTGAATTTGCCGTCGTGGGACTACCTCCTGCCTGTTGTTGCCATTGTCAGTGTCATGTGCTCCGCATCCTTGTTACCTCCCGGGGCCGACAAGCGAAGATAACGAAGTAAACCTTCGCCTTCTTTGTGGCTATCCTAACCGAGTCGAACTCGAACCATTTGTGGCTTTCCGTGGTCACGCTTCTTCACTGTGCTCAAGGTGCCCCTGTCCTTGATGAAGGACCTCGCTCCGTTGAGATATGCATCCATTGCAGGCGAGTGACGACCGAGAGACTAGAGTGACGCTTCAGAATCCAAAGAGGCCTTGCAGCCACGGCTTACGTCTTTCTGATGCTCTTGAAGGACGTATTTCACTCCACTGTGGCTCTCCTTTCCCTTTCTCTTTCTTCGCTTTTGTTGTTGAAGGACTCCGTCAGCTCCGCACGATGGGGCGCGGATGGACCGCTGGCGAGCAACGTATCGCCCATGCGCAGCCCGGCAGGCAGTTAGTTCTACTGCTTATTGCCACCCATCCGAAAACAAGGGGTGTAGTATAGTGCGCAGATATGCGCAGATGCAGATGTAGTACGGGAGGCTCCTGCCCGCGGGCCCAACACACGCCACCCCCGCGCCCTCCGGTCCAAGCGTTCTCCTCTCGTCTCACCGAGGCCTCGACTTCTTCGAGGCCTTGGCCTCGGCAGAAGTTTCGAGGAGTCCGAAGTTCCTCCTCTTCCTGGAAGCTCCAGACTCCAGGCCTTGGCGCTCTTTGGCTCGGCCTTCATGGCCCGAGAGCCCAGCCGTAAGCAGAAGCGAAGCGGCGAAGCAGCGAAGCAAGATTCCATGGCATCCATGGCCCCATGGCCATGGCTGTTCCGCTTTGAGGCCCACTACAATGCGCCGAAGTTCTACTCTCAACTGCAGGAGTCGGTGGGTTGCTTGGCACCACGAGGGACATCAGAGTCCATGGTGCTTTGCGGCCGGTCTGACATTGTGGATTTTGGGGTGAGGCTGCGCAGGGTGTGGAACAATTTCAAGCGGTGCCGACTGCACTAGATGTGCAAGGTTTCCAAGGGAAGCTGACTCATTGGCACTCCGGGACCTTGATGGCAATTCGGCACAGCTCCCAATCCTCTCGGACGTTATGTTTCCCGATCTAGCACCCAGTCTCGCGACTGTCGAAGCTGCGAAGCTTCCGGAAGCCTCCTCGAGATTTCGATGGCGATTCGCTCTCTGTTCGCTCAGCGACTCCACGGACGCGGCGCGATCTCGAAGGCGAACGACCCTCCAAAACCAGGCTCTTGCGATTCAAGTGCATCCCACTTGAGAAGGCATCGGCAGAGCGAGGCATCGGCAGCGCGACGCTATTCTCGGGCCTCGATGTAACCCACGATCTGTGGCTCAGCGTCGCAGACGCAGACACTTCGGTCCCGCAGCCTCTTGTCCTCCGAGCATCAAGCTTAAAGCTTAGGCTTCGAGTTCCCCCCCGGCCAGGAGAAGTCAGTGCCCAAATTCGCCGTTCTGGTGTGCATGGCGTACGGCTTGGCTCTCGTTGTCTTCGTTGCTAGGCACCCAGTCCGGATCCGGGATGATCCGGGCACGACGGCACGGAAGTTCGTTTTAGATTTCGAGCATAGCAGCCGAGGCGTTCGGAATGTGCGGCTTCGCCTTGTTCGGCTATGACTCGGACAGCGGAAGGGCTGGAGGGTCCTTCGAAGCGCGGGGCTGCCACTGCAGCAGTTCAGGAGGGCAACATCCTGAAGAACTACGGCTTCGGTCCGGAAGCAGCTCGGCGTTCTTGTTCGCAGCCTGTGTTGAATATTCGTTTCAGATACAGAGGTGATGCTGGCCTGGCTCAGCATGGGCTTCTCCGTGGCCTTCACATACCCGCTGGTCTTCAGCGGCTTCCGCGACTCCTGCGCCTCCCTGTGCGCAGCTCGGGGCATGGTGGCAACACGCGCCAGCCGTCAAATGCCGCAGCTTGCAATCGCCTGAGGCTGAGTGGCTTTGGCATCGCCGAATCTAGCAGCTTCCGACTGTGCCAGCCTCGGAGTCGCTCTCTCTCTCTCTCTCTCTCTCTCTCTCTCTCTCTTTTTTGACAGTTGAAGGAGGAATGCATCTGTGGCTTCTGTCAGGAGCTTCACCCTCGTGGCCGTGGCTGCCACGATCTTGGGTGGAACGATCTTCAGCAACGTGGCGCAGGTGAACGGCGTCAAAGGCACCCTTGGAGCAGCGGACTCTGAGGGTCTGAGGAAGGCTTGTGGAGTCGTAGAGGTGCCATCCTCAGCCCTTGCTTGGCTTTCATCTACCCGGCGGCCATCCATCTCAGGCCCCCGCTCTTGTCGTGGAGCCGTGTCTCAGAGTGGGCCTTGACCTGGGCTAGGTCCACGGCGAAGGACAAGGACGCCCCGGCTTCCCTGGTGGCGATGCGGCGGGGAAGCTACGGCCCGGGATCCCGAGAGAAGCAGAAGCTCTGAGAGCCGGTCTGAGTTGTCTTTGTTCCTGTGAGCCTCAGCCTGTGTCTGCCGTCTGCTGCTCACCGCCCTTTCAAGCGGCGCCTCTCGTGACCCTTTCCGGCCTTGTCGAAGCCGGGCCCTCATGGGGCCAGAACCTCCCCCCGCCTCCCTCGTCCTAGATTCTACAAGCTTTAGAAGAAGGAGGCGCGCTTTGCGAACGAGGCCATGGCTGACGGTGCGACGGGCAAGGCCGCGGGCAAGGGCCGAGGACCGGAAAGCAGCAGCCGATCTTTTGTCGCCTTGGCCGCTAAGCCGCTAACTTCCGGAGCTCAGGGCCTCCGCCGCCTCCACCTCCCTCGGGCCACGTCCCCGTCTTTCACCAGAAAACTCCAGAGAACCCAACAGAGCCCCCCCGCATCGGCCCCCACCACTGCCCAGGTAAGGCCGCCTCGAAGGGATCCAAGCACGCGCGGGGGGCCCCCGGCGGCTGCACTGCAACATCTTTCTTGAAGTGGGATTTCTAGTCTTTTCTGCGGAAAAAGCTCGAGGTGCGTCCGAGTCCATCCAGATCTTAGCAGTTCTCATGGACTGCGAGGGGTGCCGGGTGCGTGAGCTGACTGACAACCATGCTTTGCTTCGTACCCTTCCAGGACGGTCGGGAGTTCTCCTTGCAGATCGAGTGCCTCGAGTATAGCAGAACTCCTGACAATCGTCGGGCAACTTTGAACTCTTCGGGATGCAGCTGTCACATCTAACGCCTGCAAGCCTCAACTCGCAGGCTGTCCAAAAGTCCTCCCAAGAAAAACACGTTGAAAAGAGCTCAGGTGGGAGGGTCGCGTGGAGGGCCTCCGGATGTCTCTGGGCACACGGCTGGGGATCAGTTCGCATCGAGTGAAGCTCGCTTTGGGGGCCGAGGCGCCCGAAGGGTCCAACGTCTAGAGCTGTAGGTTTCGCTTGCAGACTTTCGGCACAGGGGCGTTTCTCTAAGTGCTAAGTGTCACGCGGGTCCTGGAATGCCGCAGGCTTAGCGTGTTGAAGCAGGGTCCGCTTGGCGTGCGACGCGGAGAAAGCGAGGGTTTTAAGCGTTGCAGGGCGGAGGTCGGCGCGTGATGGTGTGAGAGGCTTAAGGCTTCAGGGGTTCAGTGCTTGACAAGCTTGGATTTAGGATTTACGTTTCAGTTCGGTCTTGTGGCCGCGACCCAGCGTTTCGTCCAGGTTCTGAAGAACGAGTTGACTGCCAGGCCGGGCAGCAAAGTTCCCATCTGGAGTGAGTAGAGGGGGCTTCACCAGGGCCTGCGGCCTTTCGGACGGATGCGTTGTCAACGTGGTGATCTTGCCGCCGCTGTCCCTTGGACCTTGACTCGGAGTGCCGAGCTTCGGTCACCCGGAGCCTTCTGCAGGTACGGCACCCTGGGGCGTGCAGGAGTGGCCGCACCCGGGGAGGCTGCACGTTTTGGGCACGGTACTGTAACGACGGTGTCGGGCCTAGGGGGTGCATAGGGTCTTCATTGAGGTTTCCGAGTAGCCTTGTCGGCCTTCTCGCTGTTTCCGGCTTGGCAGTTGGGATTTTCACTCGTCAGGCTGAACAGCCCCCAGACGTCGTCACATACCGTGTCGGTGTTTGCAGCCCTACAAAGCTCTTTCATTTCAGACCGCAGACGCATCGCGCATGCCGGCGTATGTCGCATGTGATGAAGACATGCGCTGAGCCATAGCAGGTCGTCGCCGCGAAGATGGAGCTTCATGATGCGCTGGCTCAAGCGGGCAAGCTGACGCCGATCCACACTTGACAAGGCTGCAGGTTTTAGTGGCTATTAAGGCCAACGGTGCAGCCACTTCGGTGACAAGACCGTTGCGTCGAGTAGAGCATTCGTTTCGCGACTTCGTGCTCCGTGCCCAGTGTTCAGCAGCGGGCAAAGCTCCCGGTCCACATGCGAAGGCGATGTACAGTCCAAAGCGCTTCGTCGCTTGCATCTCCGGGACAAAGAAGTAGCCGTCTCGCTTCTCTCATCTCTTCTCCTCGCTTCTCCTCTTCGCTTCTCTCTTTGCCTTCGGCACTTTGGTTTCTCCTTTTCTTCGCCGAGGCCTCATTGCCTTCGGCCTGGCCTTCGGAGTGCTGGCCTTGCTGGCCACCCACCCGGCTTTCCGCTCTTGTCCGGCCTTCCCTAAAGGGCCCCTTTGGCTTTGGCCCCTTCGGCTCAGGTGATGTTCGCCCTGCCGAAGACGGACTTCACGGAGCTTGCAACTGCCTACCCCTCCGGGATGTAGCCGTGCCGTGCCGTGGAACAACACGGCTTGGCATTACCTTAGCATGCTGCTCTGAGCAAACAGTTAAGCAGCAGCCCCCGCAGACGCTAGAGTGCCCAAAGCGGCTATGCTACAAGGTTCCATAGAGTTCTCGGCAAAAGATGCTTACACTGCTGAAACCTCAAGTGTCGCTTGAAGCGCAGGCAGTTCGAAGTCTACCATTGGAACCTGGAGCCCGTCCGCGTCCAGCCGGCCGCTCGGGCGCTGCGCATCCGCGTGGCAGCGCAGCGGCAGCAAGCGCAGCGGGATGCCAAGGCTGAAGGCTGCGTCGGCCGGCCGAGATGCCGGGCTCATAGGCTCGTCGAGTCCGGTTGCGGGTGCTTGGGGGTGCTTCAGGGGAGAAGGGTTTTTGTAGTTTGGAGATGTTTGAGGCGATTTAGGTATTTTGGGATGTTCAAGGTGCTCAGGTCTTAGGGTTCAGCACGTCCGCTGGCTCATCGGACCGGAGTTTCCCCTTGCCTCCAAAGGTGCAGCCAGAGCGGCGATGCTCGCGCATATCGCGGACCACGCTGCTTGAATCTCCGCTCGAAAGAACGGGGCGCACCGGACTCCTGCGTTCTCCATTGCTGCCTCTTGCAGATGTGGAGTTATGGAGTGAGTTGCTGATGCTGCAATCCAAACAGTTAAACAGGCATGCTTGATCATGTTACTGTTGCGTGAACACTGCAAATCTCTTGGAGGTGCGGTGTGGCTTACAAGGTCAAAGGTTCGTGCCAATCAATCCCGTAGACAACCATGTGTACAAGTACTTGTCAGCCTTGGTCGGATGTGCGCAGAAACAGACGGACCGAGACACAAAGACACCAAGACCCCATCCCACAGTCTCCAACCACCCACTTCGTATCGTAAAGAAGGCCCTATTTGTAGCACAAGGGGACCCGGATTGGGCGCTCCGGCGGATGGCGTCCGAGCCGCTTGCCAGGGTAGAAATGGACACGGCCATTGTACTGCCCTCACAAGTAGGTGCGTGTATGTATTGGACTTTGATCGTCCTTGTAGTAGAAGACTATAGTGCCGCAGGCAGGGGAGAGTGCGGCGACTTGCAAAGTCGTCGTTTCTTTGGGACTTAGGGCAAAATGTGTCGTTAAGGAGAGTCCTGTGTTCCGAGGGCAGAGCTTCCGGATGAACGCCTTCAAGAAGCGGTCCGGCTGCTGCTGAAAGGCCGAGACCTGGCTGGAACCTCCTTGAAAGAGGCAGGGTGCCCAGTGCGCCAGGGCCCAGGGCAGCTAGACTGCCGAGATCTTTCACGTTGAGCAGTTAAGAGCGATGCGGGATGCCCCGAGTGTCAGGTGCGAGCCGACTTGGAGAAGAAGTTCAACCTAAGTGCGAAGCTTTGGCAGCGGCATGCAGTAAGCACCAGGAGAGAGATGCAGCACTGAGGGCTCTGTCAGCTTGTCGGAAAGACGGCAAGGGTGCAAGATTTCGAAAGATCAAGAAGCTCGGCGTCGAGTCAACCGGTGTCGCTCCACGAAGTATGCTTGTGAGCTCGGAGACGGTCAGCTTAGTTCGGACCAACACTGAGCTTGCACATGTGGCAGCTATCGCGTAAGATGATGGAACCTTGAGCGAGCAAGTTCGAAATGCCGTGCAAGATTCGGGTGCAGGTTTGGAGTGGGACATGGATGGGCGGGCACCGGAAGCCTTGACGCTGAGCGTCGGGGTGATGTTTGCCCTGTATAGGCATGCGGATGCGACCACTCACAAATTCGTTGCGGTGCCTGTCTTCACAAAACCGTACGGAGTCCACTCGTCAACAAGCAAGATTTCAGATTTCAGCACTTCTGCCGATGTAGTGTTTGTGGGCATTTCAGAAACATGGCGGCCAGAGCCGGAGGAATCATTCACCACCACACTGTCTATGAATAATGAATACTTATGCATTTTCATGGCATATCAATCGTACACAGACCGCATGACTTTTCGTGCACTGTCTTGCTGGGCGTCGCTTGCGGAACTTTCGCATTGGCTGCAAGGAGACTCGTCAGAGTTGTGTGGCCGCATGTGATTCCGCTGTGCATGAGGTGCCGGCAGCCTCGACAGCAGGAGGGAAAAGGTCCCAGCGCCGGGGACACCTCTTCCGTTCGGGAGTTTTGGTCTCTTGCTCCGCCAGGTGAAGCAGTTCGTCGCGGAGGAGATCTCTCGGATCCAAGCAGAGCCGACCTCGGCTTCCTGGGAGGCTCCGGGAAGCAGCCGGGAAATCCGGGGACTTCCCCAGGCTGGCGAGGAGGCTGCGGAGGCCGAGCAGGCCGAGCAGGCCGAGGAGGCCGAGGCCGTCTTGCACTCTTGCATGGAAAAAGGGGCCGTGCAACTCTGAGACTTGAGAAGCGCAGTGTCAGGACGGAGAGGCGCCGGCGGAGGAGGAGGAGGCGTGGTTTCCCCCCCGCCCCCAGTGAAGATGAGTTTACGTCAGTTTTGCTGCCGAGGCCAAAGCGCCCCCAAAGGCGTCGAAGCCGCCTCGCGGCTCCAAGCGAGGCAAGGAGGCCCCGAAGGCGTCGCCGGCGTCTGACGCCAAGCGGGCAAAAGGAACCGCGGAGGCCAGGGCCAAAGGGGCCACTTGGAGGGGTTTGAATTGCTTCAAAGGGCATGTGCAAGTGATGCTCGCAGTTCACAGGAACCTAGGACCTGTAGGACGCCGTAGCAAACCGGGAGCAGGATCCGCCGCGAAGATCCACAAGCGGTGAAGGCATCTCCCGATCCCGAGTCATGTGATTCTCTGTATGTGTGGATGGTTCTTGCCGTTTTGGCGCAGGCAAGGGCAAGGGGAAGATCAAAGACCGACCGGCCCTCGGATGCGGCCGAGAAGGAGCTCGGTGACACCGGAGAGCCGGAGAGCTCTGCTGAGGCCAGAGCTCCAGCATGACTCGAGAGGCGAGATCTGCTCCGCTCGGGCCAGCGCCTTTCCTGCGGGTGTTGCTGTCGATTGCGAGGAGTTCATGGCAAAGGCCAAGCCCATCACCGCCGCCCGGCCGAAGAGGATCTTTCCCGAAGAGACATTCGAGGGGAGAGGGGAGAGTGATGGAGAGTGTTGAGGTGACCATCGGAGATAAAACTTTCAAGGCAGGGACTGCATGGAACTGCTGCTTAGCTGTGCTCGCAGCGGTAAGTGAAGGCGGCGCCGAAGCTCTTCTCCACGGGCAGCTGTGGTTTCATGGCCAGCACCAAGGCCAGGGCCAGGGTCCGCGCCTGGGTCCGCCGCTTGCTGTACTGCGGCGCAGGTCCCGGTGGAGGTGGGCGGTCAGTCCCTGGTGCTGCAGCAGAGCCGGCGGAACTTTGGGAGGGCCAACAAAGTCTCAAGCCGCAGGACCCCAGAATTTCCATATAATTTGGGGCGCTAGTCCGTTGGTTGCATTTCTGTTGGAGCTGATTTTTTGGGTTGTCTTGCAGGCTGTGCTGTGGTCAGGGTCCCATTTTCGCAAGTCCTGGGCGACATCTTTTCAGAAATCCAATCAGCGACTGCGCACTGCGGCAAGTCTGTACTACGGAGTGCTTTTTCGCCCCAAGCCCGTGCCCCGGCGCCAGGTGCGGCTTGAACTTGCCGGTGATCGGATCCAAGGAGTGGAGCGACTAGCGGCCGGACTGTCCCGTCGAAGTCGTGCGGTTTTGATTGGCTGTTGCAGTTCCGAAGGCACATGCTCAAGCTGCCAATGCATCCATTCATCTTCGCTTTGGGCTGGGATTGCATGCGACAATCAGCCAGAAGCTGCAGGCCAGGCCAAAGGTGCTTGGTTTCACTTGTCGACATGCAGACGCAGCATGTCGAGCGTCTAGAGTCGATCCGTCTTTCAATGAAAGTGTGCATGCAGAACGTTCGGATATTCCACTGTACTCCCAGGCCGGACGATTGTATCGACCTTCATAGATGTTCCCTCCTCCGGTGCCTTTGAAGAGCGTTGGAGGGTTCACCAAGCAACTGGACAGTGCAATGCACTTTTCGTAGACAGCTTTCCGCGACGTGGCAAGGCGGCTCGAAAGGGTTGTGTGCAAGTTCGCTTCCTGGGGGCGTGTCCATGTCTGCATGGCAGCACACCAGCATGTACACTCATGCTTGCACCAATGCTTGTCCCGTGCCAATTCCGACCAGATAGAGGTGGTTGAATCATAAGCATATGGACACAGACACACACACACACACACATTCACACACATTCACACACACACACATTCACACTCACACACACACACACACTTTTACTTACACTTTGGCTCGGCACGAACTGATGTGAAGGAAGAGCGACAGGACGAGACATGACCCGGACGTGTCGTCGTCGTGACGTCGTGTCGTGAGGATAGGGGTCCTGTCCTCTGTCGTCGTCAAATGCCGAGTAGTAGGGATAAGGGTCCTGTCCCTGGCATTGTTGTTGGGGATGGGTTTCTGTCCTCGGAGCCAGACATAGAGAATGGCTGCCGCTGCCGTGGTGGGAGTGCAATGACCGGGCAGGGCGTAAAGCGTTCAATGTGCCGAATAGTAGGGATTGGGTTCTGTCCCTGACACAGCGGGGGCATGGTTTCGGTCCCCTTGCAGGTCCGTTGCAGCACCTTGCCTCAAGCTCTTCGTTGGCCATTCCCTGACAGCAAGGCTGAATGGCCCCCTGCACTCAATCGGTCGCCATGTCCAGGCGTTTACACACACATGCCCGGATAGACCGGGCTTCAGCACTGCTTGACTGGCCCAAGCGGAGGCCCGAACAGCATCCTATGCACAGAGTAGGAAATCAGCGTGAGTCACTTGAGAGCTGAAATCATTTGAAATCTATAGGCTTCAAATCGATCCAGAAACCAAAACCCCGCTACGCCCGGACGTTACGCCGCAGCTCAAGAATAAGCATGTAACCGTAACACACGAATCTATTGATATTTGCAGTACGAACATGCCTTGGTCGTGGCTGAGGAGGCAGCTTTTCAAGGATGTTTTTTTACAAAAAAATACATCCTCGAGGAAAGCCTTGGAAAAAGAGTTTTGGGGCCACTACGGCTGTGAATATTTGGGGTTTGGGGCCGGAGGTGAAGAAGGGTTCAGCCGTTTCAGGGTTCAGGGTTGGGTGCGAGCATCGCAGAAGAACCTTGCCGAACGACCAGCCAGATGCGTGGGCCACTGGTCTCCTGGGGTGTGGCAGCGTGGACATCGGCCCCACTTGGTCATTTTATAAGAAACTGCGGAAGCGAGGGCGTGGAAGTTGTAGCCGCCGCCTTGCCGCGGAGCCGGCGCCGGCACCTCCGTGTCCCAGGCGGAGTCCAAACAAAGCACTTCTTCCTGCAGTTCTTCGCGTGCGAAATCCGGCATGGGACTAGGTGCCAGCTCGGTGTTCCAGGCGGGGTTCACACAAAGCACTTCTTTCTGCATTTCTTCGCGTAAGAAATCCGGCATGGGACAAGCGGAAGCAGAGAACCACGCACTTTGCAAGCAAACAAGTTCTTCATCCAGCTGCTGTCGAGTTTCCACAAGCATCCCGGGGGAAGCAGAAGCAGAGCACGTGGAAGAAGAAGCTGCCGTCCAAGGGGAGCGTCACAAAGGACCTGCCGGGAAAGCAGAAGCAGAACATTTGGAAGCTGCATGGAATCGGCGAGCATGCAGGAGCCGAAAATGCTGAGAGCGCGCGCGAATTCCAGTGTAGACAGGCCGAATCTGCTGGAAAACGCAGGACATCAAGCAACTGTGCAAGTGCGGCAAGACGCTTGGGCGGAAGGCAAAACCCACCTCGTACCTCGGACCTACAGGAAAAAGCACCGAAACCTTGCGCAATGCTGGCAATCGAAGCAACTCTCACACGATGCAAACCCTCACTGCCTCAAGCCTACCTCCATCGCGTTGCCTAGCCCCATCCCCAGCAGCCCTCTGAAATCGCAGTCACTTGCAGACGAAGTTAGCAATGCCTTCGCTCCGGATTGTCGATGGTCCTGATTGATGGCATCGGAGCAGTCAAAACGAAGACCTGACAGCTGTGATGATGATTGGCCTGTATGCATTGGCATGTGCAGAGTTTGCGTTATCGTCCGCCATCGCGGGCTTGGGCGTTTGCCCACTGTGACCTGACCCCATTTCGGGAATTCCAGAACGACACGCACTTTGGCTGAGCACGAACTGATGTGAAGGAAGACCGACAGGACGAGACAAGACCCGGACGAGTCGTCGTCGTCACGTCGTGTCGTGAGGATAAGGGTCCTGTCCTCTGTCGTCTCAATTTTAAGCTGTTTCCCGAGTTTGCCCAACATTCTGTTTTCGGGATTGAGTTTACGGACAGTTCAAGGTTTGCAACTGGCCCTTTGAGGTCTGGGGATTTGGGTTTAGGTATTGATGTTGCCGAATCCTTGAGAATGAATGTAAAACGCCGGTGCCGAACACCTTGCGAAGTCGCGTTCTCAGCGACAGAGCACCACACACAATTGATCGAGCGGCCGTGGGAATGGCCATTGAAGGGAAACAGTACAAGTGTCCAGCAGAAAACCAGCGAATGTATAACCCTAAGCCTTACACCCTGAATAGGAAGACACTGCAACCCCAAGCCATACAAGCCCTAATCTGCTCGTGGCAAAGCGTTATCCGACCGGATGTAGCCGTTTATGGCTTCATGTTTAGATGTAGAGTTTTGATGAGTTTTGGGGATTAGGGTTCAGCGCTTAATTCAATACGGGAGTGGAACATGGGCTCTGTCCTGGCTCATACCCTCCCCACAAGGCCCCCCAATAGCTTACCATGCGGCTCGTGCGATCTTAGATTCTTCCGAAAGCTGGACGCAGAATGACTCCACAGCAGGAAGATGCCCGCCGGCAGATCTCTCTCAGGTACAAACAGACTTATCAGGTCCCCACTTGAGCACATGGTTGAGCCGCAGCCGCGCAGTCACAGCCGAGCCAAGAAAGAGTGCATGACGCCATGATGCCGTCTACGAGCCAATTAATTCATCGAGATGTGCTCTCATGGCGGCGTTGACCACGGTGAACCAGCTGAGCCTGGAGTCGCCCGGTCGAGAGCTAGACATGAGGGGATTTCGGTTGGGAGTCTGAGGGCTTGGAGCTCCAAGGTATCCCTTCGAAGAACTCCAGCAGGCCATTGCTGACACGCAGAAACGCAGAGCCGCTTGAGGTGAGGTGTAGACCGAGTTTTGCCGAAGGCCACGCACGATTTCTGCGGCAACCTGCGGCTAGGCCTGGCCAGGGGGTGGGCTGCCCGATGGGATGGAGATGCTTTCATGGTTTCAGGCTACGGATCCTTTGGCGGAGTCTTTCGAGGCATCCAAAAGGATGGCACAGAGGTGGCCATTAAGGCCGCATTGCTCAGCATTGGCTTGGTGTCATGCATTGCTGATGCTGTGCTGAGAACATCTCTCAGGTCCTAGACGTGGGCGATGAAGGCGGCTTCGAGGACTCTTGGCTTTAGCCGCTCCCAGTTTGGCCCCCTTTTGACTCGTTTGGTGGCTCGTTGGTTGGCAGGAGGAGGTGCGCGTCCTGAGCAAGTTCCGACATCCAAACTTGGTGATTCTGATGGGCTTTGCCCGCCATGGGTCCGACTGCTCAGAAGCATCTCGGATTCCCGTTTCATCGCCAAAACAACTGGTGCAGGCCCCAGCGGTTCCTCGTCTACGAGCATCTAGCGGGTGGCGATGTCTTCCGACGGCTCCAGCGGTGTGCCCAAGACAACGTGACCTCGCAGTGCTCTGTGGCCCATGGGCCCGTGCTTTGAGGGAGCGGTTTAGGGCTTAGGGGAGCGGAGGGGAGCGGAGGGGAGCAGGTACCCTTCACTTGGCGAGAACGTCTCAGCGTGGCCTTCGATGCGTCCTGCGGCCAGGGCCTCAGGGCCTCGGATTTCTGGCACTACGACACTGTCGCGCTGAGGGCTCTCGCATCTCCACAACGCGTCGCCGAAGGCTCTGCGCTGGGCCCGACTCGCTGTTTGCTTCGCTTTGCTCCTAGCCTGTAGATAGTATGAGTGCAACGTGCGCAAGCTCGCAACATGTGACGAACCATCTCTGCATACTTGTGTTGGATCGCTCGAGCAGTCTATGCTTCAAGAAGCGACATGCCCTCAGAGCAAGCTCGCGATCATCCCTACGGGGCATGACTACTGTTGCGAGGTGCGTTTGGACGCTCCGCTTTCCTTGGTCCATAGCACGCTCACGCTGATGTGTCTGTGAGTGAGTGCGAGAGAGAGAGAGAGAGAGAGAGAGAGAGAGAGAGAGAGAGAGAGAGAGAGAGAGAGAGAGAGAGAGAGAGAGAGAGAGAGAGAGAGAGAGAGAGAGAGAGAGAGAGAGAGAGAGAGAGAGAAAGAGAGAGACCGAGGGGGCTCGCACGCCCCTCACGCCCCGGGGAAGAAGAGAGAGAGAGAGAGAGAGAGAGAGAGAGAGAGAGAGAGAAAGATAACAAAACACATGCTTGAATGCAGGTATATTCGCATGTTTCCATGCCCGCAAAGCGTGAGCTTGTTCAAATTTGTTGTGTTGACAGCGTGGCGTTCGATATCATTGTGCGTGCACTCTGGCTCAAGCACAGACCTTCGACAACACCCACCTTCCTGTGTTGGTGACGAACCCTGCTGGCATGATGATGCTCCGCTTATTCGGACTGCTGCCCGTTTCGTGGGCATGCAGCTACGTGGAGATTCCATATCCTGACAGCGGGAAGACATCCTATCTTATCCCACGAACCATGGAGCTTTGGGACTTGTACAACAGAACGAAGTACAGCATCGAAGCGTTCCCAAGAGGAGGTGGGAACAAATACGGCTGGGTTGCGCCAATGAACATCTTCCGCTTCCCACCATCGTACCAGCCCCTGCAATTCCCTTTCGAGGGCATGAATGAGGCAGGTTTGACAGTCTCGGCACTTTATCTGGCACAGTCGGTCTATGAGGAGCCGAAGCCAGGAAAGCATGCGATTAGCGCTCTGGAGTTCGTCCCAGCAGTCCTGGCCAACTACTCCTCCGTCGATGAAGTCTTGACAATGCTTGAGGCAGTGAGCGTCCTGACTCCTTTCGTGCCGGGTGTTCCGGAGGAGGTGCTCAAGACCACTACCTTGCACTGGGCGATCCATGACGAATCTGGCCGTTCAGTCATTGTGGAGTACATCCAGGGCAAGCGGATGGTACATGAGAACGGCCCAAGAGTCATGACCAACGATCCAGACATCCAATGGCACTGGAGGAACTTGAACACGCGCGTGCACTTGAGCCCTAGCTATCCGTATCAGAACGACATGCTACAGGTCAAGACAAACGACGCGGTGGGAACCGTCCCGCGCCCGATTGGCCACGGCTGGAACTTGTTCGGTCTGCCCGGAGACACAACGTCGCCGAGCCGCTTCATCCGCCTCTTCTACTTGAGAGGATATGCCATGGAAGCAAGCCCCATCAAGAACTTCGAGGATGCTGTGGTGTTAGGAACTTCGCTTCTCAACAACGTCTTTATCCCCTATGGTCCTGTCGCAGCAGATCCCAGAGCTGGGCCCAGCGACGGCCCCGAATTCACGGACTATGCTGTCCTGAAAGCTCCGAAGGAGAAGGTTTACATGGTCCGAGGCTATCGCAACACGCAGTGGCGGAAAATTGACCTCAAGAGGTTGGACTTCTCCAAAAGCACCGCGTGGCCGCTCGAAGACGGGTCGCTGGGCATCGTGGACATCACCGATGCAGGCGACAGCGGCACTCCCAAGGAGCTGTGAGCAGCGTTGTTGCGTCTAAGCTCGGACGCTTCCGGATATCAGTTGTCCTTTCTGAACTCTTTTGAAGAAAGCTGCACATCAATGCAGCGAGCTCGTTGGCGGCCTCGCACCCCCGTTGCCTTGGCCTGCATTTAGTCCCGGTTGTACAGGACTCTGCTTCTTATGTACAGTTGCCAACCCGGCCGGCTAGGCTCAGCGCACATATGAGATATATGGTCAGAGGCAGAGCAGCACCCATGCTCCTCCGATATGTGGGACACAGAAGAAGGGCATCACCGCACACTTCCTGTGATGAGAAGTGCTTGAAGAACGTGCCATGGCGCCCGCCTGCGCACTGAAGGATACATCTCAATGTTCGCAGAACCCAGGAGTGCAGCGCCTGCAGGTCTTTCATCGGGACATCAAGTGTCCCAACATCTTGTTGGTGGTGGGCCTAGTCGCGTGCCTCGTCACGTGCACTGCGGCGGCAGCTCCTGAGGATCGCAACGGCACTGCCAAGATTGCCGACTTCGCCGGGCTCCGAGGAAGGCAGCTTTAGGGGTGATGCGAACCAGCATCCGAACCAGCGTCAGAGTGTAGCAGTGTTCACCAAGCTTCAGGGCACGGCAGAGAGGCAGTTTCATCTTGCTGCTGGATCTTGAAAGTTGCCAGACGATCAAATGCGAGGCGTTGTTGAGCAAGCTCTCGCAACCTAAGTTGAGCTCGGTGTCATTCAGATGATGCGAACTTCCAGAGTTGTTTCTCGATGGGAATCTGCAGTGCCCCGTGCACTGAGGGCTTGGCTTGCTGCTCTCACTACAAGGAGCAGAAGGTCCAGCAGGTGCCTCTTTTCGACAGGCGCCAAAAAAACCTGCACACCCGGCAGCTGACAAGGCCGCCGGGACGGTGGGCTACGCCTGTCCGCACTACGTCAACAAGGGGGTGGTGACAGAGGGCAGTGAGGTGCGGGACTAGGAGGCAGGTGTTGCCGTGGGAATGCTCCAGAGATCGAGGTTTACTCTTTCGGCATTGTGCTGCTGGAGCTCCTGACCGCGGCACAGCCGGCCTACCAACTGCCGACACAGGCCACAGTAAGGCAAAGATGTCCTGTTGTTCCTTGCACAAGTTGAGGCTGCCGATGGCGGTCCGCAGTACTGCTTCTTGGTCAGCCAGATCGGCAACGACGCGCGCGTGGCCGTGCAGATGGCCGACGCCAAGGCCCGGGAACCTCTTCTTTCGGAGTCTCTCTACCTTAATTTACGGATCCTCAAATTCAAGGCGAAGGGTACTGGGGGATCCAACATCCCTTAAAACCCTCTTCCTCGAGGATCCCACGATGCATGTTCTTTTGCTACTCTTGTCCTGTCCTCCTGTCCCTTCCCTCTGCCATTTCCCTCGAGGCGAAGTTCCCTGGGAACATCGCCATGAGCTTCGCAGCGCTCGGGCTCCGCTGCACGGATTACACGGAGGAGCAGCCGCAGCTCTCTGGCTCTGTGGGCACTTCTTGGCATCCCTGCCAGGAGTGCCGTCCGCTTTTTCGGGAGGTCGTGACGAAGCTGAGGGGCCTCTTGAACACTCCGGAGGCCGGGCCCAGTGTCAGCAACGCAGGTTTTCTTGTGCTTCCTGCTTCTCCGAGGCCCCTGCGGCCCCTGCGCCACCACGCCTGCACGCCGCCCAAGCCGCCCAAGCCGCCCAAGCCGCCCACGCGGCACAGGCTCAGAGCCTGGAGCCCCAGCTTCAGGGCTACCAGAGCCCTCTGGAGCCGCCAGGCTTTCAAGACCTCCGCGGCTACCAGCGCCCACAGGCCCCACAGGCCCCCCTGCAGGCCTTTCAGCCCCCCCAGCTTCAAGGCCTCGACACGCTTCCGGGCTTCCATCCGGGCTATCCCTCGGAGGATGAAAGGCGGCTGCCCTCGGTACACCGCCAAGTTTCTATGCAGGAGCGCTTCCAAGGCTCCAAAAGCTTTTCTAGAATCCATGAAAGGGCTTTCGGTTGGTGCCTTGCCGTTGTATTCCTGCTAGAGACTCTCGGCGTTTCAAGCTTTTGTGTCTTTCTTCTGGAGGCAATTCGGTGCAAGTGAATTTGCTCAGCGGGCCCCCGAGCCCTGCTAGCCGGGACCTCGGGGACTTCAGAGCTCCGAAGCTCGTAGAAAAGCGAGAAGACAGAAGAGCAGATGCCCACAAATCCAGAAAGTCCGAGGCCTTCATCTCACGCCTGGCTCTGGCGGGCGACCTTTTGGTCCTCTGGGCCCAGGCCCCGGAGGGCTCTTCCAAGCGCCCAGCCCCAGCCGGGCCTTGCTCTGGAGCCTGGAGCCAAGGCCTCGGTGGGTCAGCCTCGGACTTTGCCTTTGCCTCCACCGGCACCGCCCAGGTGCGTGAAGTCGGAGTGCAGCTCCGATCTTTCTGCCAAGCCCAAGGAGGGTGCTCTTGCTCCTCAATCCTAAAGCGACACGGCCTCTGGTCTGCGATGTCTCTGCCAGGACCAAAGAGTCCTGACACACTGGAGAGACATGCTCCCGGACGTGGCCCATGCCTTGCCTCGCGGCTGCAGCGCGAGACGCCGTCGTTTCGTAACTGACGTGCCCAAACATCGCGGCGCTTGCAGGCCCCACTATCGTTTCGGTCGTTTGTTTCAGAACGACTTCTGCCGGCTCATGCTTCCAGTGCGGAGCCCAGCAGACATCGAACGCAGTTTGCAGTTTGTTCCGATGGATTCATGCCTAGCAACTGTGTCCGCTGCATCGCCGTGCTTAGCGGTGTGCAGTATGGTAGCAGCTGAGAACGATCACTTCTTCTCGCAAGTGTCACGGGAGCACTTCCAGATCTGGGTCGCGATCTCAGGTCTCGGAGCGTCGTGAGAGTTAGAGTAAACACCTAGGACGTAGGTCCTGATCCGTCGCTCGTTGCAGCAAAGCAGGCTTAGGGCCGACGAGGGCCGAGGAAGTTTAAATGACCTGTCGGGGGAAGCTCGTGCTTCCGTAGCCGAGAGCCGAGGCTCAGGAGTGGCCGGATCTGGGCTTCGACTTCAAGGGCAAACAGCCTTGCTCCTGTCGGGCACTGGGAACGAGCCTTGCTTCTTGCACTGCTGCTCTTGGCACTGCTGCTGTGGGCACTGCTGCAGTTTTCCTTACGAACTTCGGCACCGTTGGGACCGTGGTGGACGGTCAGATGCTCGACACGAAGGGTCAGCAGGCCGCCCTGCACCACGGTCTCTCGGCTCTGAGAGCATAGGCAGCCTGTGCAGCCTGTGGACTGTTCGAGGGGCGTCGTTCTGCGGCGCGGAGAGGGGCTATCTACACTTGAGGCAGTCGCATCGCCCTGCTCCGGAATGCAACGGACAACGGGCGGGAATCAAAGGCCCCACCGATTTCACAGAAGTTACCGTCTTTCATCGCTTTCTGCTGCTTGTCACCGGTCGACAGGTGGAATTCCTGGAGTTTATCTTCAGTCTGGAAGGGCCCGGCCCTCTGCCTGGTTCATCTTGGGTCCATCCCCGGCTGCGGACAATCGGCCCTCAGGGCTGTCGCCATTCACGTTTGCTGTTCCGAAGCTTTCGATCGGGCTTCTAGCAGGATGAGGAGGGAATGGGCCCCGTCCTTTCTGAGGTCTGTCCTGGAGGATGCAGATGTCAGAGCCTGATCTCGGGGCTTCCTTGCTGCTGAAACCAGAAGTGCAAGTACTGTAAGTTTGTGTAAGTTGTAAATATATGGCTATACTGCATCGGTGTCAAAACAAATACGTCCTTCTCGTTGTGTTCCTCTCACGTCGGTGTGGCTAATCACACGTGGGACGCACCCGCAGCGCAGAGCCATGGAGCTGAGGAAATCTACGAGGCCGTGCCAGGTTCTCGGAGGACTCGGGGTGCCTCGCACGAATGTGCAGGAATTGCGGAGAGCTGACATTTCAGGGATGCCTTGGTCTACACTTCCCGATGTGAAGGAGTTTCGACGCACCTTCCACGCCTCTTCTCGGAGGTGCCACCTGTACCGTGTTATGCCATACACGGCCAGCGGCAGACTTGACATGCGCTTGAGAAAGCTCTCACAGCGTTGCTTCGCTTTCATGAGCAAAGGCGCCTGTCCTTCGACGGAGACGGAGAGGTCGCGCATGCAGATGGTGCTGTGGACGTTGCTCTCAACTTGAACCGACTCGCACCAGGTGTGGCGACGCCGTGCAAGGCGGCGTGTCCTTTGCAGGCACCGATGTGGAACCAGTCTTCGTCCTCGAGGAGCGGAGAAGTACAGCCGTGTGAGCCTTGTTGTCCCCTGTGTCTTGCAGTTGGGCGGCACTGCTCTTCGTGCCGGTGTCCTTGGCCTCAGTCCGTCTTTCCCACGTCCGACGCCGACGTCTCAGTGCTTTCGGTTTCGAGGTGCCGCGGGAGAACTTCCGCGTGCTCCACGGGCCTTCGGCCTCAGCCATCGCCTCGGCGCCCACCTGCGAGGCCCCCGCTGTGGCCTCCGCGTCGGTGGTTTCGTGCTGATTTCGCGCTTCTTTCTACTCTGAGAGGTGCCGTGCCCGGCCCTGACCTTGGGCAGCCGACTCCAACCAGGCCGCTAAGGAGCCTTCTCAGCCTTATATCTCCCGTGCGCTGAAGTGGCCCAGGCTTCTGGAAGAGGATCCTGACGGATGATGCGTGTGATCGGCCTGCTTGAGCCACTTGAGCCGCTTGAGCCGTGCCTCTCCGATCATGTTAGGAGGGGGCTCTTGGCAGAGCAGCACTTGCGGATCGAGGCGACCGTGTGGCCCGTGTGGGGGGCCCGCATGAGAGTCGGCGAGAGCCGCAGTGCAAGGTGGAAGAGAGCCTCGAGGGTCCGGAGCAAAAACGCTTCTACTTGAGGCGCCAGGATCTGGCTGCTTTAATGCCCTTGAGAGTCCCTTTTCTCGCAGGAATCTCAGCGAGCTGTCTCTCAAAGTGGAGGGAGCGCCGGAGGCCACGGAAAGGGGAGCACAGCTTCAGAGCCTTTTGTTGGGTTTTCTGGTGTAGTTATGAGCAGGGGCATGACAGCACGCGCCTGCCAGACGAGGAGCGCTTCAGGCGATTCAGGAAGGTACTAGTTACTAGTACTTGCAGGAAGGGGGCTTGTCACAGAGGACGGGCGATGGCAGCTGCACGACGGAGACAGCGTCCTCCTGAACCTGTGCAAGGATTGGGTCCTCCAGAGACTTGGGAGTGGACTCTCATGTGCTTCCGCTCATTTTCGCCCTTGCTGTCACGTGCCAGGGTAGCTCCATGTGGATGTGTTTCCGGGAGTTCGCCGCCAAGGCACGAAGCTCTTGAAGCGAGGCTTTGCTTTGAAGCTTCGAAGACGAAGAGCCTCCAAGTCTCGGCTCTGACCCGCGAGGCTCAGCCGATCTGAGCGAAGAGTCCAGGAAGAGTGACTTAGAATAACTTAGTCACGAGGCGCCACTGGGACTCAGAGAGCTGAGCAAAAGGTCGCCTCTTTGCACCGTTACTAGGCTCTTCGACTCTTAGACTAGAGGCATTGTGCTTGTTCGTTTGCTCGTGCCTTCTGCCACATGCAATGCCACTGGCGATCTCCACGCCAGCTTTTGCTGAAGCTGCTGCAGATCTCGAAATAGCTGGAGTTGCCAAGCCAGTGCTGAGGTACGAAAAGTTGAGTCATTGAGTCTCGTTAGGCCTTGCCCGGGTCGCCTACCACAACGGCCGCAATACTTGCTCGCGAGCGATCTTGACGAGCTCGTCGCGAGCTGTCAACGACAGCTCCGCCCGTCTAGTTTGGCCGCATTTGGCAGGCTGTGGCAGGACGACGGAACGGTCACAGCGATGCGAAAACCGGTGCGAACAATGCTCTGGCCTGACCTTTCCACTCGAGCGGGCCACCGTTAGCGCCGTGTGTCAACGCCAGCTCAATCTCCACCCCGACATATGCCGAACTCCTACGCTCCCAAATGTTTTCCTCGCCCTGCAGTTGCAGATGCGTTCCGCCGCGGGGAGTGGCCCTCACTTCTCGCGCGGAGTGCCCGGCGCTCACCTGCTGAAGGTGCCGACGCCGAACGGCGAGCGGTGCGCCTCGCTGCGCTCGTCCTCAGCGAGTCGAGCCTTCACAGTCGAGCCCTCACGGCTGAGCCGCTCGCCGATGGCAACCGCCGACCTCAAACACCAGTCGTGCCACTCCTCCACCATGTCGCGGAGCCCGCGAGGCTCGGGCGCAGGCCCTTCAGGCATAACGAATGAGCACCTTCGCCCTGCTGGACGACGCCGGCATTTGCTCCACGAAGCAGCACTTCCGTTCGCCAACGCTGACGTGCCGGCGCCTGTCCTGGCAGCGCGCCTTGGACGAATCGTCGCGCTCCGGAAGCCGGGTGGCTGTGTGCACGTTTTTCGCCGCCTCATCGCCTGTGCCTTGGCGCAGCACTCCACCGAAGCGCTCCAGGCGGCTTGCATGCTGAGCACGTGCACGGGCGCCGAGGCGCTTTACCCACCGTTTTGTGTCCACACGCTTTACGACGCCCTCGCAGCGGCCATGTGGCACCGCGCGCGAATCCGTATCCATGAGGGTCAAACGCGAATTTGGAACTCTGCCAGACTCTGCAGGCGACGAGCCGACTGGCATCGCCGACCTTAGCACCGGTGCTGGAGCCGAGCCCGTCTGGGTAGGGGACCGGTTCTTCCCACCGGAACGGCAAGGCCTTACCGTGCTCGGATCCCCCCTTGGACACGATGCTGTTGTCGCAAGATTGTACCTCGCACGAACGCGACTATCAAGACTGCAGGCCGCCTGGCTTGTGCTCCAATCCTGCGCCGCTCCATGGGCCAACTACCTGGTCACACGCGCGTAAGGCGCCTGGCTACGTTCAAGGGTGTAAATGTGCTCATTTCTCAGGTGTTGGTACGATTTTAGTGTAATTTCGAGTTTTTTTGATACATCCGCTAATTTGCAACACGAAATGCTGTTTTTGCGGTGTGGTTTTCTCTTGTCTTAGACACTGTGAACCCGAAAGACTCGCAACCTGTACACAGGCCCAGGCCAAAGTCGCACCCCAACCCGAAAGACCACACAAAACCCTGTACCTAGGGTTGAGGCCTGGGGTGTCCCCCCAAAAGGTTTGGAACAAAAGCCCGGAAAACATATCTCAGGCGCTCCACCGATGCCTTGCCGCTCTGTGAGACCAGCATTCATACTTGAAGATCCTAAGTGCTTAGCTCCGTCGCTCGCATTGACAACTTCAGAAAGGTTTTAGGGCCATATTGGAGTGACATGTTAAAGGCAGTGTTCTGTCGGAGAAAGCAGAAGCTCACGCCTTGGTGAGCTTTCGTAGCGCTTTCAATCAAGCACGTGGGGAGGGGGCAGCCGCGAGGCAGCCTCAGCCTGAGGTGGCCGTGGCCATTCATGCACGAAGCAAAAGCGACTCACCAACATGCGTTGATGCCGACGGCGTAGCTCAAGCAAAGGCGGTGTCAGCGCGTGATTCAAAGACCAGGCCATGAAACCCAACTGCGGGCCTAGCGCCTGCAAGGTCTCTCCACACACTCGTTTTGAGGGTTGGATCCTTGGGGGCTGGATCAGGGGGGTTTGAAGGCCAAAACCAATTTCCTCAATAGTGCAGTTCAATATACCGATTTAAGGTTTCAAGCTGTTGTAGTATTAGCTTATTTATGTATTTTATTAGGAATTTCAGTGCCGGGGGCACGGCCGTTGACCAAAACATTTTAAAGCACACTGGGAAGCCAGCGTGAGGAAACCCTTTTTTGCCAAACATTTTTGCATTTGTCCAAGCCGGATGTATTGAGCGATGGTGTTCGCTTCTGTCCAAGCCGGATGTGTTGGAAGCTGAAACGTGGTCCTTTGTCACGTGCCACTGCTTGGTTGGCTTGGTTGCTTGGTTGGCTTGCTTGGCTTGCTTGGCTTGCTTGGCTTGCTTGGCTTGGTTCGACTCGCCCTACCCATCCTGCACGCCCCAGCTCAGAGTGGTCTTAGAGACCGCTCCAGTCGGGCTCGGACCACGTGAGCAATGGGTCCTTGATCCGTGCGGGACAGTGTCGCTGGCCGGGCGCTGGGGATTTACTCTGTGTGCTGCTCGCCTGTCCAGCCAGGTGGTGTGTCCGCCGCGGGGTGAAATGCACACAGATTGCAGGGAAGGCCTCGCTACTATTAATAAATACTATGCCACGTACCCACACCACGGTCGAAATATTAACTTCGATCACTGCTGCTTGCCGGCATGGCCCCGCATGGCATCTTATGCTGTGCCTCATTGACAGGTCTTCAGTAACCGGCGCGTCGCGCAGCGATTCCGGTGCACTCGATGACGAGCATGACCTGTCCTCTTGCGGGCCGGTATGCAAGGCAATTGGATTTCAGCGCTCCGCACCAAGGCCCTGATTTGCCGGCGCATACTCAGCAGGGTGACCCCATCTTGGCCGAATGGGGGTGGCATTTAAAGAAGTCTCCAGTCCGCATGACTGTCAGAGCACACTCGTGTTTGCAAAGACGCTGGGGAGGCCGTTACTGTGTCGGCATGGCATTGCTTGGCTTGGTTGATTCGATTCTGCAGTGGCATCAATTCTGGTAGCATCAATCAATTGTGGTAGTCAGCATGGCATTGCTTGGCTTGGTTGATTCGATGCTGCAGTGGCATCAATTCTGGTAGCATCAATCAATGTCAATGGTGGTAGTCAGCATGGCATTGCATGGCTTGATTGCTTCGATTGTTGCGGTGGCATCTGATTCGATTTTGCGGTGGCATCAATTCTGATACCATCAGTTCTGGTAGCAGCAACTGTGGTAGTCAGCATGGCATTGCTTGGCTTGGTTGATTCGATTTTGCAGTGGCATCAATTCTGGTAGCATCAGTTCTGGTAGCATCAATTTGTCAATTGTGGTAGCAACAATTGTGGTAGCGCTAATTGTGGTAGCATGATTTGCGGTAGTATAACTATTGTGGTAGCATCAATGGCAAGGTCTGCCTGGCATGTTTTGACAGAGCCGGGGGGGGGGCAGGGCTGGCATGAAATTTGCATTTTGCCAGGTGAAGTCGTTTCAGAAGGCATGTGAGTGATATTTGCGCGGAAGGCTCAGTGAGTGTGTGTGTGTGTGTGTCAGCTTGCTTGGTGATTGATTGTGAGCCCCTTGTAACCTAATGCTGCAGTTCTGGCTCAAGTTGTGCTATGTCGAGTGTGGCCCTCCAGCATCTCCCTGAGGAATTGTGTCTCGAGGAGCAGGGCCAGGATCTCCGGAAAGCACAGCAAGCAATCTACTTGCTCTATTTGCTCTGCCCGAGAAAGGCTGGTGATCTTGTGACACCTGCAGTACATTTCAGACAATTTCCAATTGAGAATAATTTGCTACCTGACATGTCATTGTTTCAATGCAACAACATTTGAGGAGATCTTTCAAACGGGGAAGAGACGGCATCCAGAAACCAGAAGCCTGGATTCTGTCAGCCTGTAACAAGAACGTTAGAGAGCACTTTGGCAAAGATTGATGCAGCCCTTTTTTTTGGCGCTTAAGCTTTCATCATTACAATTCCGTGTTCATTCGAGGCACAATCAAAGCTTGGGGATAGTATACAGCCAATTCGATGTCGGGAACTACGGCAGCAAGAAAGCCGCAGACGCCTCAACGAAAAGTTCCGGTGACTTGGGGCGGGGCAAAGAAGAAGACGACTCGGACGATTGGGGACGCAAGTGGAAGGACCCCGAGAGAAACAAGAGACCACGAACCGGCTATTGATGCTACTGATGACGATGTGAGCTCTATTGACAACCCGAGCTCTTCGGCAGCTGCTTTCTGCTCCAACACTTCGAGGTCAGTTTTCCTGGGCGGCAAAACCTACGTTTGGCCGAAGAGAGTGGTGATCGTTGGTTATGGGGTTGCCCACCATGGAAATCGTCCATCACCTCAGATGGCAGACTTGTTGGAGAGGTTGGACAGGGAATGTAACTTTTCTAACAAATGGGAGGTTCGCTTGCAGCAGTCAATGCACGTGTCGAAGCTTCATGACATTTGTCCATTTTTCATTCATTTCAGTTTCACTCAATTGACAATTGAGGGCAGTGACAGTGACAGTCATGGATGGAAGCCAAGGGAGGCCGAAGGAGGAAGGTTTGGCAGAGAATGTGGCCTATACCAGAATATCATGGAACAGGTGCCTGGTCGAACAGGTGTTGCTTCATGAATCGAGTTGTATAATAAGTATTTTTAATTTTAATAAGAATTCACCCTAATGACCGAGGTGTATAGTCATCCCGCAGCGCTCAAGACGCTCCACTTCATCCTCAATTTTCCCGACAAGTTGCTCAGGCTTCTCGAGTCTTTGAATGCTGAAGGTCTTGGAGGTTTTTTTTAGGTTCAGGGACTAGGATAATTATAACCCTCCTATGTGGTCCTTCAAT